TGCTCCCTCCCTTTCAGGACATTAGACTAATTAATTATTTGCTTAAACTCTCTCCTCACAGTGGCATTCCAGATCCTCATGAGTTTATCTTTTACAGTGTTGGTCATGTAAATTCCAATTGAGCGGCCCTAAAATTACATTTACTTGTAATTTTGCTTTTATGAACACAGGTCTACTCTATAATTAAATTGATAACCTTAAAGCCTGGGGGTGGGGGAGGATTGCAATCAGAATTGCTATTTTGGGGGGCCTTAAAAGTACCTTTGCCTAAAAAGATTCTTGATGGGCATTTTTTACCTTTTTGGTTGATTTCCTGTAGACATAAAGTATCTGGCTTGTTTTCCTTCAAGGTTTTATTAATTGTTTTATGCTTAATTTGTGTCCATCACAGTTCCATAAAACAGCATTCACTATTTTTCAAAAAGGGACAAGTGCATATCCCCAAATCACAGTATGGTGATTTGCATAATTTTGTACTCAGATACTGTCTTCTGGGGTTGTAAACAGGATGCAAACAGCCTTCTGTCGTTTCCCCTTAATCTCATAAATATACAGGCAGCCTTCGACTCACAAACCACAATTGAGCCCAAAATTTTTGTTGTTAAGTGAAACATTTGTTAAGTGAGTTTTGCCCCATTCTATGACCTTTCTGTCAACTCATAAAATATTTCTATGGTCATTTTATAGTTGCCAACAGAAAGGGAGGGGGAAAGGGGGTTTGAAAGAGCAGTGCGGCAGCTTGGAAACTGAAAGTGTATTCCATGAATAGTTTTTCAAAGATAGTAACTAGGTGACTGAAGTTTCTGCCATGCAAAATTCTAACTGGAGAGCATGATTGATGACTCTTGGCTATGGATGTGTCCCATTGGAGAATATGAATTACGATACACCCAGGGGGTGGGGTGGAGTGAACCTGGGTCAAGGGTGACAATGAATGATTTGTCTCAGAGTCGGCTACATCCAGGCAGTGCTGGACATGTTAACTCCCAATAAATTCTGTTGAAGTTTTGGAAGTTTGGCTTGAGACTCATGATTTAAATGGGGGTGACTGCCGGAATCCTGACACTTCCTTGCCACAAGTGAATCACTGCAGTTGTTAAGCTAGTAACACAGTTGCTAAGTGAATCTGGCTTCCCCATTGACTTTGCTTGTCAGGGGATTACGAAACTGGATCATGAAACCGTGAGACGCTGCAGCCGTCATGAATACGATACAGTTGCCAAGCCTCTGAATTTTGATCACGTGACCATGAAGATGTTGCAAAGGTCATAATTGTGAAAAACAGCCATAAGTCGATTTTTGCAGTGCTGTTGTAACTTTGAATGTCACTAAATGAACTGTTGTAAATCAAGGACAACCTGTATCACACAGAAGAATTCTTGAAAAATAAAGAGGAGAAATCTTTATTTCTTTCTCCGATTCCCCCTCTTATTTACTAAATTATGTATTAAATATTAAACATGAACGAGTGTTCTGACTCAAACCCTTTTCCAATAAAACAAACATGAACCAAAGGGAACAGAAACCATTTAATGATTCTTAGGAATCCCCGGTTAAAAGGCTGCTGCAAACTAATTAACTTTGATAAGCACACGCTTTGCCGAAACTGTGCAAGGCTGCCAAGAATAACAGATAAGAAATATTTCGCAACACCAGCGTCTTCAAATACCAACTAAGATACTGCAATGTCCACGAGGCTGTAGTTTCAAAACGTCTTTGCTTCCTGCAAAGAACGTTCGCTTCACGACTGGCTTTTATCTTCTTGAAGGAGGGACCATCACTTTGCAGCCTTACTCCCGAGTCACCCATGCTGCTGCAGCTGCTCTTTCCTGCGAGCAATCCTGCATGCACGTGCACTTGGCACAGGCTCCTCAGGAACCTCCTCATGGCTGCTGCCAGCCCCCACCGTCTCTGAAGGCAGCAGTCCACTCCCCAATGGTCCTGGCCCCTCATCTGAGTCCTCGCTCTCCTCAGCCATCCGCACCTGCTGCCGGCTAAGCACAACAACCAGTATTTCCATACGCAACATGATTATTCTTCCACATGATTCCTTCCTAAGTATTTATTCCTTTTTATTGGGATTCCTTTCCTCCTGAGTTGATCCTCCTTTCTAGTTGAGATCTTTTGCCGTGCTTGGTTTGTTAGTTCAAAATATATCAGCTTCATCTCATTCAACGTACAGTAGATGAAATTTTTTCTTCACCTTTAAATTAAAAATCAAATCAGAGGGGAATGTCCGGCGGCAGGTTTTCTAAGGAATCCATTCCAGTGTTTCAATTAACTTCTTTCTTGAAGGCTTTTCAGAAGGCATTTCTTGATGAATGTGGACTTTGCAGGGTATCCTTTCATTGTCCTAGCCTTCTGCATAATAGATTTTTAAAAACCAGGAAGTAAGAATTTATTATTGCTCCGTTTTTTTTATTACTCAGGAATTTCTAGCATCTGGATAATCATATCTGGAACATATTTTCTGTATCCGGAGGATTCTGAGAATAAATAATTGCGTCGGGGTTTACTCCAACAGCTTATTTATCTCATTCTTTATGCAAATCTTTCACATTTTAATCCCAATGTTGCCATAGCAAAACTCATCTTCCAGACATATAACTCTGCCATATTAGCCCTGAAACCCTCTTTTGGCTGCCTGAATTAAATCTGAATTCCTTTCAAATGCCTTCATTTGCACGATCAGAAACACCTGAAGGCAGGACAAGAAGCCACTGGAGAGCCCCAACCTCAAACTCAGGAGAAATTTCCTGACAGTTGGAACAGTCAACCAGTGGAATGATTTGCCTCCAGAAGTAGGTGCTCCATCACTGGAGGCTTTTAAGATTTGTCTGGAATGGCGCAAAGTTTCCTGTTTGAACAGTGCGTTGGACTAGATGACCTCCAATGTCCCTACAACTCTGTTATTCTGTAAAATGTCTACTTAGGAATTTCTTCTTGTACTTATGTAATTATGTAAAAAAAATTCATTTTTTTTCCAACTCAGGCAGAATTTTAGTAAAGACGGAGGAACAGTTTCATTGCCTTCCTTATCTTATAAAACCTTCATATCACCATTACTGATTGTTCCTCCTGAGTTCTGTTCCCCCCAAAAAATCTTTGCTTTCTTTTTTCTTCTTAGAAATGTAGTATCATAGATTTCTCCCTTTTAATTATTTTTGATTCTTTCGGACATCCTTGAACATTGAGCTCCGTCAGGAGAGGAATAAAATGTTTATTTCCCAGTGTAATTAAACTGGGCAGATGCAAGGCAGATCGAAACAAATTTATCCAGCTTAGCATGAAGGCTGCGTGGGTGGAACTGATCAAGCATAGATCAATTCTTTTCCATGTTGGATCCTCAGAATAAATGAACAAATCATCCAGATGAACTATCACCTATCCTGACCTAAAAGATTTATAAATCTTACACAGATGTACAGATTGAAAGATAAATCTAAAGGATTGTCACCCTTTCAAATTTTCCAGAAGAGATATTTATAGCTTTTCTTCATCCAAATTACAATATTGTGTGTTTTTTGACACTGGTAAAAAAAAAAATACATGCTTTCTATAAGTTGTCCTAAGAATTCAGAGAACAGTGATTCCTAATGGTTACAGAGCCACAGAGGAACATGGAAAGGGCCTTGACAAAGGTAGAAACACCAGCTCAGGTATGGAAGGGTTGAGTGAGTCAGAAAGAATGTTAAGATTGCTCTGCTTTGATTTTCTCGGTATAAGAGTAGCGGAGAGAATCTCTGTCAGGCTTTCAAGATCCCTGTCTCGATCGTATTAGTAAATATATATGTTTAAAGATACCTGTCTCAAAGGTGCTTTTTCAAAAGGCAACTGGACTGTTTTTTCTTTGAGGAAGAACAAGAAAGGATGGGGGAGTATAGAAGGATCATATTTCTTTGCAGTCATCTGGTCATTAGTATTCTCCTTGAGAGCTCTTGAGGCCACTTGGGGGGTTTACCTGTGCCCTCAGGCTCGCCTGTATCAGAGCGCAACTGAATATGGAACCTTTTTGCTGAAAGGATTATGTTGTAGACAGGAGACAGGTGGTGTCTTATTCCTCCCCCTTTCTTGAGGGTGGGCTGCTCAATTTTGGCCTCTTTTACCCCTCCTTCAAATGAATGGTCCTCTCTATCCAGAATGTGGACTTTGTTCCAAGAAAATGTCATACCCATTTGCACTCTGATTCAGGTGACCCTGGGGGCACAGATAACCCCCCAAGGGGCCTCAACGGCTCTCAGAGAGAGTGCAAACATCCAGAAGATTGCAAAGAAATGTGATCCTTCCCTCTTCCCCACCAATCTCAACTATTAGTATTTTTCCTTCCATCCTCCTACCATCTTACATCAAAAAGCAACTGCAAGATGTGCTGCACAAGTAGACTAGATTTTTCCACCATAATGGCAGCAATTTCTAACATATTTCACGAATGTATTTTATTTATTGGCCACCCAACTCCAGTGCGGTTCCCCCAAGAGCTCCAAATGAATTATGTGTCTCAGAGTTGGCTAGTTGTCAGGATTCCGGCAGTCACCCCAATTAAATCATGAGTCTCAAGCCAAACTTCCAGAACTTCAAAAGGATTTATTGGGAGTTAACATGTCCAGCACTGCCTGGGTGCAGCCGACTCTGAGACACATAATTAATTGTCACCCTTGACCCTGGTTCCCCACCCCCCATGACATTTCCTGGGTGTATCCTAATTCATATTCTCTAATGGGACACACCCATAGCCAAGAGTCATCAATCATGTTCTCCAGTTAGAACTTCAGTCACCTAGTTACTATCTTTGAAAACTATTTATGGAATGCACTTTCTGTTTCCAAGCTGCCACACTGCTCCCCCCTCCCTTTCTGTTGGCAACTTTAAAAAGACCATAGAAATATTTTATGAGTTGACACAAACACACACACCCCTTCGGCTTTCCCCATTTCTTTTCTCACCCCTGTTTTTATTTAACCAGAGAGCCCCCGAGGGCCCAAGAGACAAAGGCATCATACCAGCCATCCACTCCGGCTTTCTGCAGCTCTGAAATGCCAAAGGACAGAGATCCCATAAAGTCATTTCTGCTGGTCAGATCCCAGTCCCAGATCTCCACCGACAGTCGCCTGCCCTTGTCAGACTCTTTCAACTGGCTGGAAAAAAACAGGGAGAGAACAGATATTAAGACACTATTTTCTGGGGAAGGGGCTGCTTTCACAAGCTTCCATGCATTTCACCCATGATCACCCATCATGGAGAAGTGGTGGTCTTCAAGGGTAGCCTGTGCCCTTCATGCTGACATTCTAAACTAGGGACCTCAAAACTCAGCAACTTTAAGACTTGCAGACTTCCATTCCCAGAATCCCCCAGATAGCTTTGCTGGCTGAGGAAATCTGGGAGTTGAAGTCCACAAGTCTTAAAGCTGCCAAGTTGGGAGAGCGCTGGTCAAACAAATGAAAACGTTCAAAAATGTCAGTTTCTGATGCCACAGTGTTGTTAGAGTATATTTTTCTGAGTTACACTGACTGGTACAGGAGAGAGGAGGAAAATCCCACTTCTTTATTCTTCTCTCTTAAAATGCAACTCCCCCCCCCGCCCCCCGCCCCACTTCATTAATTCTAGGAAATTGCAGGTAGTTAAAATCCTGCCTTGAGGCATCTGAGCCTGCAAACTATAATAAATTAAGCAGGGACGGATGTGAGTTGGAGACCCCTGAAAATCCCAGAAAGTTTAGCAACGAAAAACAGGAAGAAGATGGAGGATGGAATGATGGAGGGACGTGTTAAATCTAGTTCTACTTTCCTGTGTGGCAGTAGATCTTTCTCCTCGGGCACCCTGGCAGCTTGAAGCTCAGCATGGCTCCCTTCCTTGCCAGCTCTGTGCCTCTTTGCAGAGAGGCAGCATTGGCACGGAGAGGGATCTGGGAATGGGTTCCACCCCCACCAATGCTATGCTGCAGCAGGCCCCATGCTGAGGGAGGAAGCTGAAACGATGGCCAGGAATTTAAGACAGGGAGCAGAACTTCTTGGAAGCCTCCTCCTTTTGCAGTTCCATTTGGGTTACTCTTGTCTATGCTGTGAACAACAGAATAACAGAGTTGGAAGGGACCTTGGAGGTCTTCTAGTCCAACCCCCTGCTCAAGGAGGAAAGCCTATATACCATTTCAGACAAGTGGTTGTCCGATCTCTTCTTAAAAACCTCCAATGTTTTTGGAGTCAAAACTGTCCAAGATCTGCAACCGGACAAGTCTTTTCCTTCAACTGGCATGTGAATATGGGATTTTCTACCTGGGTCCTGTCTGAGTCATAGTCTCTTTCTGGTTACTTACACCGTGAAACCACACATGAGTCACAGTGTCGCAGTACTGCAGGCTGACTGTTGGCTGCCTGCAATTTTGTCAGAGTGTTTGCAGCATGACTATTATTGTGAGACAACCCAGGAGCAAAACATAGCACACACAGAGGCATTGTCTTTTAACAGTGGTTTATATACAAGATAGCTATATACATACATACATACATACACGTGGTAGGCAAATACCTGGCAAGCAATCAGTCTTCATTACTCTGCACGGAGAACCACAATGGAGACAAAACACAAGGAGAGAGAGGTACAACCTCTCATGGCCTCCTATATATAGACAGCTTCTTAAAGTGGTAAAACCCTATGGGACCCATCCTCAGTCTTAAAGTGGCAATAACCATGCTGATTCATCCTCGTTGCATCAGCCTCACAACAGCTGATCAGCTATTAAATCTCAAGATCTTGACAAGTTTGGCAATTCAAATCTCACCAGGCTCGATGTTGACTCATCCTTTCATCCTTCCGAGGTCAGTAAAATAAGGACCCAGATTGTTGGGGGCAAGAGGCTGACTCTGTAAACCACTTAAAGAGAGCTGTAAAGCACTGTGAAGCAGTATATAAGTCAAAGTGTTATTGCTATTGCTACAGTGGGGGATCTGGAGGAAGGGATAACTGGAGAGGTTTGTCCAGCAATTGACCTTTCTTGACTTCCTGTTTTAAGATATAGGTAGCAATAGCACTTATATACCGCTTCATAGTGCTTTACAGCCATCTCTGAGCAGAGAGTCAGCCTCTTGCCCCCAACAATCTGGGTCCTCATTTTACCCACCTCGGAAGGATGGAAGGCTGAGTCAACCTTGACCTGGTCAGGATTGAACTGCTAGCAGTTGGCAGAATTAGCCTGCAATATTGTACTGCTTTCGAACCACTGGGCCACCACAGCTCTGGGTCCCCCAGGAATCACCCAATACCCAACCTTCAAATGTTGCATCTAGCAATACTCACAATTTGAAGGTCTCATTCCACTCAGGGTTCAGAGAACATTTGATGGTTTTAGTCTTCTGTTTGCTCTCGCTTTTTGGGTCAGGTATGAGTTTGAGCTTCACATATGGGTCTGACAAGCCGTTGGGATCCATCGGAACAAGATTTTTAGCATCCCGTACTAAAACAGAAAGGAAAAAAAGACCCTAAATGGTGAAAAGGGCAACAATATCTATTTTCTCATGTATCTACATGCAGGAAAACTCAATGGGCTCAATTTGTGGTGACACGTCCTGCCCAGTGGTGGGATTCAAATTTTTTTTACTACTGGTTCTGTGGGCATGGCTTGGTGGGCATGGCAGAGGAAGGATACTGTAAAATCTCCAGTCAGAAGTGGTATTTGCCGGTTCTCCAAACTACTCAAAATTTCTGCTACCGGTTCTCCAGAACTGGTCCGAACCTGCTGAAGACCACCTCTGGTCCTGCCACAGGTGAAGCACATTTAAGTCCTCCAGAACAATTACATACAACGTGGCTTATTTGCAGAAAAAATAAATATCCACCAGGCTGGAGAATCATTATTTTCTGTGCTGTGTTTGTGTGTATTCAGTACCATGGTAATTGACTCTCCAATTATCCCGCACTCCATGTGCTGGCAGATCTTTATATATTCATTTCTTTTCGGTTTTTATTTTTAACTCAGAATCTTTTAAAACAGAATTGTCTTTTGCTGCTCCTCTGAGTCACCCAGAGGTCTCTGGTCCAATTTAAAAAAAATCACTTCACAAGGACCGAAAAAAGAATCTTCCCACAGACTTAATCTGGCTATGTTATCTGTGCAGCATCCATCCCACTTAGGATGTCGGGAAGCAGGGACAGAGAGGGAAACTCTGCTTGTCGTCTTGGTCCAAGCCTGTCCTAAAAAGACACAATGTTCTCCTTAAGAAACAGCTGCTAGAGCTGCTCAACCATCCCTTAAGTGCTATTTTTATAACAAAATGCAAATTAATAACATCCCCACCATTAATCTGACTTGGGCCAAGGAGGCAGGACTGAGTCCAGCCACTTTCTGCGTGAACAGTCAAGGGCACTCAAGCATCTGTAGTAAGGAACACCCCCTATCCAGAAATGTCAGAAAGGGGGAGGGAGGGAGGCTGCCATTTGGCTCAAAAATGTCATGAAGATGCCCATTCTTGAGCTATCAAAATGTCAATAGAAATGAGGAGCAACTTTGCTGTAATTAAAAAGTGATGAGGCAAGGAACTAGAACCATCCTGGAATAAAGGAGATGACCATCACAACATTCTTATAAATCCCTTGCAAGGAGTCTCTGCTGTATTTCACTAAACAAATGGACAATTATCTATCCATGTATATTAAGACAGGCGGATCTATTTATTCCCAACAGTGTAAAATGAAAGATTTTTGAAGGAGCCCAGAGGAAATGGGAAAAACGAATATAGTATCCCAATAATGCTTTCCCTTGAAAGAACAGTCCACAGATGGATAGATGGATGCCACTTTTTCAATATCAGCAGCTGGCAAAAGATGTATGCATTTCATGTATACTACATTGCACTGGAATTTTGCATAGCCAAACATGCTAATTGAAAGATTAGCCCTTTAATGACTTTTAGCAAATACAGGCAATCATTGGAGATTAGATAAAACTGGAAGGCCCAGATCAAATCTGTCCAAAATATTTGGGTTTTATTGAAGCCACAAAGCCCAGACAGCTGATGGAGGTCTATTAGCAGAAGCTGGGTGCCATCTATTTGGGATGATTTCATTCGGATCCTTGCCTTGATCAAGAGTCTGGGTAGCTTTAACAGATTAACAAGAGTTGGAAGGGACCTTGTAGGTCATTTCTGACAAATGGCAGTCTAATCTTTTCCTGAAAGCTTCCAGTGATGAAGCTCCCACAACTTCAGAAGGCAAGCTGTTCCATTTGTTGATTGTTCTCACTGCCAGAAAATTTCTCCTTATTTCCAGGTTGAATCTTTCCTTGACCAGTTTCATCCATTATTTCTTGTCTGGCCTTCAGGTGCTTTGGAAAATAGGTTGACCCCCTCCTCCTCTCTATGGCAGCCCCTCAAATATTGGAAGACTGTTATCATGTCTCCCCTGGGCCTCTTCTTCACTAGACTAGCCAGGCCCTGCAACTGTTCATCGTATGTCTTAGCCTCCAGTCCCCTAATCCTCCTGGTTGTTCTTCTCTGCACTCTTTCTAGAGTCTCAACATCTTTTTTATAGTGTGGTGATCAAAACTGGATGCAGTACTCTAGCTGTGATCTTTGAAGATCTCCTCCAATGCCACGGTTAATAAAAGCTCAGCTACAATGCACAGACCACATTGGGAAAGACACAAGCAAATTCAAGAGGCTACTGGCATCCTTAATGAGAAATGGCAGTGACACTATTTACTGGAGAAGAACCCTCCCTTCAGAAAGGGAGAACGGTGCCCAAATGAGAGCAGAGCAGACAAATTTGCATAATAGAAGGCAATAACAGTTGCAAAAAGGATTACGGACATATACAACTGATGTAAATAAATTTTAAAAGACATGGGAAAATGCAAATAGCCAATCCCCGGAGAACAAAAGACTTGAAGAAAATCTGAAAGGGGATAATGAGATAGCACATCAGTTGAACACCGTCTGTGCACCAGCTTTCATTGAAGATGAAGGGCAGCCAGTATTCATTTCTCAACTGATTTTCTCAAGAATGTGTTTTAAGAACTCAGAAAATCCTTGTACCAACAATGAAGTCTGCATCTTTCCTGACAAATGAGAGCCAAACCCCTCGTGACAAAGCTGAGTAGGTTTCGTGGGAAGGAAAGTTGATAGGAAAAGAAGCTCAAAATTCCAAAAAACTTGCTTGGGAATGTAATTTAAAACCCAGAAGAGGAAGAGCACCTCTGTCTTTTGAATCTGTAACATTGTTTAGTTTTACAGTAGAGCAGGGGTGTCAAACTCAAGGCCTGTAGCTGGATCCAGCCTGCGGGGTGCTTAGATCTAGCCCACGGGGCCCCTCGTCTGCGGTGTCTCTGCCAGCGAAATAGAGCTCCGTGGTCCCTGGCAGAGGGCTGCAGGAGGCCGTCTGAGCCGAAAACAGGGCCTGTGGAGCATGCAGAGCCCACCTGAGCTCCGTTTTCTCTGGCCGAGGGCTGCGGGAGAGCATCGGGGTTGAAAATGGAGCTTGGGAGCCCGTTTTCTCTGGCAAAGCACTAGGGCCACCACAGGCGCCCCAGACACGAGTGATGTTGACCTGGCCATGCCCACCCCAGCCCCTGAGGTCAAACAGAATCCTGATGAGGCCCTTAATGAAATTAAGTTGGATCCTGCTGTAGAGGCCTTTTTGAACAAAATAAATGCATTAACCATTGTTTGCCAATTTTGAAAGACTTTAGGGATTGAAATTAGAACCATTTGAAATTTTAAAAAATATCTTCGGGGACTAGGCTAGAAACCAGGAGCCCGTGAGCTCCAGTCCTATCATGGGAACGAAACCAACTAGATGAGCCTCAACAATCATTCCCTTTAAGGCCAACGACAAATCTTTTCCGAAATCTTGCCAAGAAAATGCAGGGATTTTTCCGGGCAATCACCAGGAGTCCACACAGACGATATATTCATTTTAATAGTCACAACTGATTCTAATCAGGAGAGTTTTTAAATTTTCCACCTTTTAAAACCCTTTTTAAAAAATTTATCTATATAATTTTGTGCAATTATTGTGAAATATATTTTTGTTACTGCCTGACAAATACAGTCCCCAATACTTCACTGAATCCTTTGTTGTCTGGCAACCTGACTTTTTCTGCACAAAGCTTTCTCCTTGGGATAAATGTCTCATTATTATCTTTAGTTTTTGTGCGTAATTTTATATCCTGAGAATTCACCAAAACCTTTAATTGTTTTCATCAGCTGTCTTATCACCCTTTGCAGCTGCATAATAGTTAGTACCACATCGTCCGCATAGCATTTTAATTTATATTCCTCTCCTTGAATCTTAATGCCTGATATTTGCTTATCTTTTTGAACCTTATTGGCTAATATGACTAAAGCGATTGCAAAACACGGAGAAAGTGGACATCCTTGTCCTGTAACTTTGCTTACTGAGAAATCTGTAAAAAGCATTCCATTAGTCATGATCTTTGGCCTTTGCTGCTTATACATTCATTTAACTCAAGCTTTAAATTCTTCTTCTGGATTTAATTTATTCAATACTGCAAATAGGAATGACCATTCCAAATTGTCAAAGGCTTTTTCTGATCTAAAGGAAATATTGCTGCTTTTTTCACTTCTTGCAGATTTTTTCTATTCCTTTTATTATAAATCTGCCACTGTCCTTGGGGTAACCTGCTTAATCTGGAATATAATTCTGTCAACCTTCAGCTATTAGCATAGCAAGAATTTTGTAATCAACATTTGATACGCAGATTGATTTTTATATGATGTGAGTTTTTTCCAGATGATTGCTGCCTTATAAATCAAAGATACATACTCTTCTTTCTATGTCTGTGGTATTTATTTTGTCTCTATCATTTCATTTTGGTTTAATCTTCCCCAACACAATTCCACTAGGAAATTGTGAAGAGCAGGATGAAAAAAGAGGATTGAAGCCTTAGAGTTACAGGAACATGGTTAAGGCAAATCTGTTTACTTTGAATGAGTTTAAACTCCAGAGACTGATGAATAGCATTCTAGGGTAGTGAAATAGCTTGCTGATGTATAGTTGAACTATTACATATTGCATTTAAGAAACCCAGGAGAACAGATGGATTTAAGTTACCAGAAGGCAAACTTTGTTTGAATTTTAAGAGCAAAATTCTGACAATGACAGCAGTTCAGCAATGGAACTAATTATTCAGAGATGGTGGTGAGCTTCCTGTCACTAGATACATTCAAACAGAGGGTGGACAGCAATCTGTTCTGGATAGTTTAATTCGGATTCCCAGAGGGAGAGTCGGGGTGGATTTGACAGCCTAAAGAATCCACTCCCATTCTACATTTTATAATTTAATTGCTTGAGAAACAATAATAGAATTAATTGTTAACAGAAGGAATCGTTTGTGCCTCTTTACTGATGCCTCCACTATATGACTATTATGTTACTGCAGAGAGTTGTAGACCAGCATGGAAGTAAAACAAGGAAACGGAAGAAATGTACCTCAATAAC